TGAGGTTATAGATGCAGCTCATATGTATTACCTCTCCTTCGGATTTAATTGGACGTTCACCATCTGGTCGAAAAACGTAAGCTCCAGAAGCCTTATAAATATATGAACGGTTTAAAAACACAATACGATAAGTAAATAATGTTTATAGAGAGCTGAGCTACCTGTGGATCCTTGTCAGTTCCATTGCTTCCAATGTAATAAGCATATGATTGTTCTGCATTAACCTTAAAATATACCCCAAACCAACATAAGATGATATTTACATATTCGAATAGAAAAGTAGGGAGCTTTAGATTAAAAAAAGGCATACCTCATTACTGGTACTTAAATAACGACTCATTTTCATTCCCTCTTCCGAATAGAGTAATTTTAGATTTCCTTGGCCAACTTCTACATTTTGATTCATGCTTCCAGAAGTAACATATGACGCAGATAGTCCACGCGCTTAAAAAATTAGAAAACGAAGATGTGAGTAAATACAACACGTCTGTTGGTATCAGTGAGGAACCAATTGCCACGGCTAGTAGAATCAGAACATATGAAGCTGCATTCAAGATACTACCTCACAAATATTTACGACACAATATTACACATTCTGGAACATAGCTACCTGTTCGTCCAATGTCTGAGATGACATATGAGGTGAACCCAAGAGGTGGTACTGAAGCTGTAAATGCAAGCACATGTTTTGCAGTATCCCTTGGTGATTTTCCCAGATACGCTTGGACATACTCATTTCTTATTCTCAATGTGATGTCTGAAAGAGGTAGAAGCTGAGACACGACTTCTTTCCCAGATGAATCTTTCACGATTACATTTTCAGACGACACCTAAAAGAAGTCATCACATACATTTGGTGAATGTTGGAAGGAGTGGTAAATAATAAAGTGAGAGCTTAAAAAATACTTACAGGAACTCGGACAACTTCCTCTCGTTTCCATCCTAGAGAATTGTAGACAACAACCACCTACAAGAAACGATTCATGTGAACACAAGATAGAACAGCTAATCAAGAGGTCCAAGACTTCATAGACTGAAAGTAAGCCTGTCTGAATGATTTTACCAGGCTTTTCCCGCTGGACAAACGAGCTTCAGATGCAGGACAGTAGCTGATATTAAGCAGGGGACACTGCCAGTATGATCAATAAGACAAGAATCAGCTTAACTCATTAGAATACAATAAGTCTTTGGAACTTGTCATTAGAGTGTTCAAGAAAATACTACAATCAGCTTCCTAAAAAAATTACGTTGCTTGAAGCAACAGCATCCTTTGTGGAAGCGATAGTAATAACAGCATCTCAACGTCTTCTGAACTCTTCTAACACGGCCAGAGTATTATTTGAATCCTAGAAAAATCCTAAACAAGCACGTTACCTGCTGAAATTTTGTGCCGGGATTCTTCTTTTCAGGACTTGATTTGGCTGCTGATAAAAAGGAAAGGGAAGAGGCAACAACCTTCTCGGCCTGGTAATGATAATAGAGAAATTAAACTGATGCACCAGCAAGAGAAAAAGGTTGCATGAAAAACAGATGAGATTCCTGACTAAAAAGCACCTGCAGGTAACCGATGGATAGTCTAAGAGCATAATCTGAAGCCACATGCTGTCTTTGTGTACCACTAACTGCATCATGGTGTTGAGCAATTGCCAAAGCATCGGCTAGCTTATCAGTTGTTGGTCCTGAACTATTCCTACCTCTCAAGAATTCCAATTGTCGAGCCGCCTGTTTGAAACCAAACAAGGCTATGAAAGAATGGAGCCAAAATAAACGAAAAATGTATGAATTTTTAGACATATATTAGGCCATACCAGATAAAAACCACTTAAATCCCTCACGTACTTCTTGAAGGCTGGCCTGCTTGTAAAGTACCCTGTCCAGTATGCATTAGGTTTGTCCGCATACCTGGCACAGGTATGTGCATTATTTATATAATCAAAATGCGTTTGCATACGTAGAAAGTAAAACCCGAGCATCAAACTCACGGGAAGAAATCATCAGTCTTTAGAGGCCAGGACTCGTTTGCAGCATATTTTGCATCTGTATAGATAGACGGAGTCGAATACAGAACGTTGACACGGCCATCCTGGTATATTTTCAGGGAATAAAGATTGGTATATTTTATCTTGAGACTAGTGAAATCCTAATGAATTGAATGTGCTAAAATCAAAGACCAGTTTTACCTTGTTAACATAATGAATAAACTTGTCCATCTGCCGGAACCATGAATATGCATACTGGTAACGGAAATCAGTTCCCATTAACCACATGATATGGTTTGTCCTGGTAACGTTGACCTTGACGAGAGAAATCCAAGTTAAGAAAATAAAAATATAAGACATATCATAGCAAAGCTTCTTTTATTTTTGTTGATTTCAAGAAAAGAGTAAAATATATGATCTTTACCTGTGCAAGGGCTGCAGCTACAAAGTCGTTGACTCGCTCTTGAACATTGTAGTCAAAAAGGAGAGGATCATCCTATATTCAAGATGTTTCATCAGTGCGCATTCTAGAAAAGTTCAAACACAGCACAGCATGTTCAATTGATTTTACCTGGATAGGAGGTGATACATCATTTACTTCAAATGTGAAACCATCAGGAGGGTCATAATGTCTTGGGAAGACACCGGTGAATATCTACAAGTAACACCAAATAGCAATGAGACAAAGCCAGCTAAACAAAGGAGACAACACAGCTATAATGTGATGTTTGATGGTTTTAACCTGTGAAGATGAGCCAAGGGACTTAGAACCCTGCCAAATAACCTCAAGTGTCTTCTCCCTTAATCTCTTTGCACGATCTTGGTAGTCAATTCTAGCGAAAAACAGCGAGTCAAAGCCTAACTGTAGAAAAAAACCAAAAAAGTTTGCCCAATCAACTTGAGCTGATACAGGCTAATCATTCGCATACTAATCTCATTTAAATTCTTTGTGAAGCGGAAGGAAACCAAACGATGAACAAACTATACCTCTGCCCCAAGCAAGTAAGCTTGTACTGCAGAATGTCCAAAGGGATCGATTTGCCAACCGACTCTAGGAACCTGACCAAACTCATTTTTGATAAACTGATGGCCTAGTGTCGTCTGATCAATCATGTCAATATAATGCGGAGTCGCCTCATCATGCATACACATTCCACCATTTCTGC